CCCAAAGGCGAAACGAAACAAAAGTGCAAAGCAGCCATAAACAGCAGACATGCTTATTTATTATACACATATTTACATGTATTTGTGTATATGTGTTTTTGGAACTGCATAAATCAACTTCCAAAAACAAAACAGAAAAAAAAAACTCAACTGGCCCAAGCATTTGATATTGTTTTGGTTCATCAAACGTTTGCGCTCTCCTTCGCGCTCTCTTTTGCTCTCTCACTTTTTGTTTGTTTACAGCTTGCATAATCTCCGTTAAAAAGTCCAGTATTGCAAAATCTGGTTTAGTGCCAACTTGCCTGTTGCTCTCTCCATTTCGCTCACTGTGCAGGAGAGCAAGGCAGGAAAAGAGAGAGTGAGAGAGAGCTTTGGCCACGCTCTCATTCGTTACTCTTGCTGCTTATGCAATTTTCGCATTTTTGCTGCGCACCCCTCCCCTCTCCCCCCAAACGCATCAAAGTGAAACTTTAATTGGAATTTAGGCTCTTCTCCCCCCTCCCTGTGCAAGCATCACTTAACGGGCAGATCGCTTCACCCAAAATGCGGCAGCAGCAAACCGGACACAAAGTAGGCGCCGGTCCACCGCCACGCATTCGCACCGGGGACGACCTGTGCCCTAGCAAAAATTGAGCTTCAAGGAACGGTTGGTCCGTCCCTCTGCCTAGAAGCCAAACTGCCAAGCGATTAGCAAGGCCTATTGGTTTTCCTTACTCATAATGTTTTGGCACGATTTGTGTAGTGTTGCCAACGCGCGAGTCTTGTGCGCCGCGTCAGAACCGTTTGTGAATTTTAAGGGTTGCAAAACGTTAAAATTCCCAACGGCAGCGCATCGCCGTGTCGACTCGCGCCTTTGCTTGATTCGTTTAAATAAATACAAATTGTTTTTCTCGTTTCTGCTTCTTGCCACTAAATTGCTGCAGCATCTAGATATAGTTGGATTTAACATAGTTGCGAATTAAACGTTTCCACTTGAAATAAAAGCGGCGCACAGCGAGCAGCATACGCAGCCTAATTGTCCATTAAGCGCCTCGTGTCTGCGTCTCCGTGCTCTCTTAACGCTGACAATTTTAGCACTACGATATGTATATAATATATATACTATATAGACAATGTCTGGAAATCATGCATATCAAGCAACATTTTTTGCACGCCTCAATTAATCCGAAACGCAGCAGCTATGATTGTTTCTGATGCCCCACGACAGTTATAATCTTTATTAGTGTTGAGTGATGCTTGAGCAAAATCTCTAATTAACGTTATCGATAACACAAGTACTGTTATAAACTTAAGACCAAGTCGTAAACTGTACGCAAAATTGACATTTTGTGCAGACTTTGATCGAAAAGAAAAAAACAATTTGTCAGCTTGTGGGGAAATTGATGATAGTTGATCTTTTTTGCTAAGCTTTATGCACTTGCTGTTTGGCTATTTATTTATTGTTGTATATATTTTTATACAAATAGAGGGGCCTTTCAATTCGCATTCACTTTTTTCTTCTATGAGCCAACAGCTTGTGCCACCTTTCGACCCAACAAGTCAAGCTGTCTAATTTTATTATACATATATGAATAAACATTTAACACGCCACATTCCGCGTACACCGTCATCGGTTATCGTCTTTTTTTTTTTTTTTTTTTTTAGCCAGACATTATATAGTGATTTTTATGACTAATTCTGGCGTGATAAGGTTTCCACTTTGTTTTTTTTGTTTTTTTTTCTGTTAAGAAATATTTATTGAACTTGTATTTGTATTGCATTTGACGAAATGCGAGCTGAGTCGTTGACTGATATGCATTATTCTTCAGTTGATTCCCAAATCCATAGAAAATGGTTTGAAAAGTGGAAGTTGAGGCTTGTCCGAACCCATAAAGTTGCTTCTGATAACTTACAAGAACTCAAGAGTTCGCATTTGATGCTCGTATGTTACACACATATTAAGAATATCTTACTTTTTGTATAGCTTTAAACCTTTCGCTTGAAAATGAACAAATACTAATTTTAGTAGCTAAGCTCTTGGTCTTTGGTATTTACGCACATTTGGCTACCATATAAATTCCCTGAAAGTTTCATGAAGATCGGACAATAAAATCCGAAGTTAACCTAGTTACGAAAGCATTTTCTATAGGGTTGATTCCATGAGGGAAAAAAGAGCACAACTGCAGCTGCTTAAGCTGTTATATTACAGGGTAACTGCTAGTTGCACACTCCCCATTATTAGTATCTCTTGTCGATTAATTGATTAATTGACTTAGTCATGTCGCTGTCAGACCCGGCACGCCCTTGAGTCATACTCCTTGCATGTCGACGCGGTGCTCGACGAATAAACAGATCACACATTAATTCGAAGCTCATTTGGAATGCAAAACATGTTCTCAGCCCGTGGAGCTTTAACGTAAAAGAAATTTAATTGTTTGTTATAAAAACATAAATTATTATGCCTAGCTATTTACAGCACGTGCCTCAGTTACATATATGATTCTATAGATCGTAATCCCTACAGTAATAAATGGTTCGTCTGATTGGAATCGATTAGTGCATTGTTCAAGTACTGTGATAAGATGTGGGCTCTAATTAGAAATTTGCACGATCATGTAATCGAAAGAGACACTGATCAAGGGAATCAATACCAAATTCTTCTCGGGCGATCGTGATATAATCCCTAAGATCTGCATGGACATTTGGATGATCAAGCTATAGAACTATACAATGATCCAGGGGGATTAGAATAATAATCTTCTGATCGGAAAGGTTTAGTTCTCGCAAGTTAAGATCTCTATAGAGACGATCAAGAACCAGAGGATCAGACTAATGCCAGCTAATACTTTTCTGTCGATCAGTTCTTTTACAATTGTTTCTTACAATTTAAGATCTGATCAAGGGGATCAATTTAATCCCAGCTGATTCTTTATCGTTAGATTCTTACAAGTTAAGATCTGTATGGAAATTTGCTAGATCAAGTAATCGGAAGACACAATGATCAAGAGAATCAAGTCATGCTAGCTGATTCCTATCTATCGATCAGTTTCCTAACGTTGAATTCTTACAAGATAAGATCTGACTAGGCATATAATACTTGATCTAGCTTATACAGATCTGAATTAGTAAGAGTCTAACGTTGGTCGATAGAGAAGAAATCTACCAGATCAAGTATCGATTACCAGATCTATACATAATGATCGAGAGGATCAATACCAGCTGCCTCTTTTCTATCGATCAGTTCCCCAATGTTTTAGTCTTGCAACTAAAATCCTATCAAGAGGATCAGTTTAATGCCAGCTGGAACTTCTCAATCGATCAGAGTCCTAACTTTAGATTATGAGGATCAGTTCTTCAAGGATGTACAGTTCCAGCGTTGATTCATGATCTGTCTGAAGGGATCTTCAAATGATCTTGCAGATCAGAATATATTTGAATATATAACTGCCTCCATATCAAAGCATCTCCATTGATCAGTTCTCCGCATGATCATGATCAGTTAATATTGATCAAGAACTTTACTTAGCCAGCCTCTAATCTGAACAGCTTGTCCTTCGTGAAGGGTATTATGTATGATCCGATCGAAACCCCTAAATTGCGTAATATTCTAGACATTTGTCGATTCTCGAATAATATTGGCAATGCAGCGTGTGATCTGATAACTGAATTGAGAATCTTGTGTCATCAGCCGGCTGCGTGTCAATCCCAAACGATTAGTCTGACATAGGTAAATAATATATACGCATATACATATATATGTCTAGACGTATATGTGGAGGGGCCTCGAGGCCTAACACTAAATTGGAGACTCGAGTCGAGCAAATTAAACTTGATCTCTGGCTAATGATAAACACTCGATAAATGCGATTGCCTTTGACTGACTGACAAATCATTTTGGCATTGTTTTTGTTGTTTCTCAGTTTTCACAAAACACTTCAACTTTGACGTCAGCCCCGCCCCTGCTGAACGCCCCGCCCTTAGCTAACTTTAAAGTTTGTTGATCTTTGCTTTTTGCAATGCAAATTTGCATACTCATAAACAGTCTGGAAAAAAAGCCAATCTATGACGAAGCGCCCAGACAAAACGACTCAGCAGCGCGACTTACGATTCGAGAATATTTCAGAAGTCGTCTTCCATTTCGAAAAAAGTCAATTTCCGAGGGATATTTCCAATGTCAGCAAATATTTAGTATACAACGTTTGCTTAAAAAAACATTCCATAAAGCTTCTACGACCAGGTGTATTATGATACAGCAAGCGGATGTTGTTGAGATTGTGCTAGGATCATAAAAAGTCAATTTTTGTCATGAAGCTAGATTGAAAATTGGATATATCGATAATTGGATATATCGATCATAGGATGTATCGATATTTTGATAATTTAATATAACGATAATTGGATGTTAATATACTACTATATTGATAATTCGGTATATCGATAATTTGGAATAGCGATAATTGTCTATATCGATAATTGGATAGCTGCATCGATAATTTGATTAAAACAATAATTGGGTATATCGATAATTCGACAGATCGATTAATGGATATATCGATAATTGGTTATATCAGTAATTGGCTGTGTTGATAAATTGATGTATCGATAGTTTGATTAAAACAATAATTGGGTATATCGATAATTGGATATATCGATCATTTAGATAAAATCGATAATTGCTATATTGATAAATAGATATATGAATAATTGGATGTGTCGATAATTTGATATATCGATCATTGGTATAAATCGATAATTGGCTATATCGATAATTGAGTATATCGATAGTTGGCTATATAGATAAATGGATATGTTGATAAATGAATATATCGATAATTGGATAGCTGCATCGATAATTTGATTAAAACAATAATTGGGTATATCGATAATTGGACAGATCGATAATTGGATATATCGATAATTGGATAATACAGAACATAAGTCGTAGATCTTAAAGCTTTCGTGCCCATGCTGTAAATTGCCTTAACTAATGCCCAAACGTCTTGTGTTATCTTTACAGATTTCAGTTACGTGGACCGCTGATCATATGGAACACGCTGCTGGCGATGTTCAGCATAATGGGCGCCGCTCGTACCGCGCCGGAACTGTTGCACGTGCTGCGTCATTACGGGCTATTCCATTCGGTCTGTGTGCCCAGGTGAGATTGGAATATTTTCGCAAGGTCAAAGCGTCAGTGCCAATAATAATAAAACCTGATTTTGCACAATCTCGTTCTGTTCCTTCCTCCCCCCGTCACCACACTCTCTCTCTCTCTCTCTCCTGTAGCTACATTGAACAAGATCGCGTGTGCGGTTTCTGGACCTGGCTCTTTGTGCTGAGCAAACTGCCCGAACTGGGCGATACGATATTCATAGTGTTGCGCAAACAGCCGCTGATCTTCCTGCACTGGTATCATCACATCACGGTGCTGATCTACTCGTGGTTCAGCTATACGGAATACACTAGTTCCGCACGCTGGTTCATAGTTATGAACTACTGTGTGCATTCGGTTATGTACAGCTATTATGCACTGAAGGCGGCCCGATTCAATCCGCCGCGATTCATCTCGATGATCATCACGTCGCTGCAGCTAACGCAAATGATAATTGGCTGTGCAATTAATGTGTGGGCAAACGGATTCCTGAAGACGCACGGCACACAATCGTGCAATATATCGCAGCGCAACATCAATCTATCGATCGCCATGTACTTCAGCTATTTTGTGCTGTTCGCGCGCTTCTTCTACAAGGCGTACCTGTCGCCCGGCGGACACAAGAGCCGGCGCATGGCCGCCTCCCTGGTTGCCCAGAATACAGCCAAGCTGGCCGATGGACCGACGGCATCCGTCTCCGAATCCAGTCTCTCTGGCAAATATGTGGGCGAGGATGCACAGGCTGCCTATATGCGCAAGGCCAAGGCGCAGTAGAGCTTTACCACAACCCCCCCTCCACACTACCCCCTCAGCAACCAACTAAAGGCTAAGGACATTTATTTATGCAGTACCGAGGTGTAAAAGTTGTTTTTTAATTTTAAAAAAAGGCCCGACACAAACAGCTCGAGCCAGACAGCAGACGCGCACACGAGGGGCGTTCGATAAATTTAATTTTAAGCATAGAGTTTTACCAGGCGGCTGGCTTACTAAAACAAACACAAATATATACATATACATAAAGCTATATATTATCGGATATATATGTTTATATAACGTCATGTACATAATGAAATCGAAATTCGAAGCGCAGCCCAATTCGATGAATGTTTTTGTAAAAAGTTAGCTATGGCATGTAAAAACCTTCTCGTCTGCCTATATATATATATATATATATATATATATATATATATATATAGTACTGTTTTTTTTTTTGATAGTGCAGTTTAAGCCCAAAGTTCTCTAGTTTTCATTTGTGCTCTAACTGTAAAAGGAAAAATAATATATATATATAGAAACATTCTCAAATTGAGTTCAGACCGCCGCTCAGTTATCCCTACGAATACTTACCCATATATATATATATATATGTATCTACCAATATGTATACACATATATATAACCTGTGTTGGCAAACGCGCATTTCTTTTTGGTATTTTCTTTGGTATTTTTTATGTAGCTGAAACTGATTTGTACTCGAAAAAAGGAAGTGGGAAAATGGATTAGTTTCCCCCAATCTAAAGCGCAAATTGTTAATGTAAAGTAAAAACCAAAACGAAACAAAACAAAACAAAAACTGTATTCAATAACTAATTTTGATAAAACGTGCAGGGGCGTGCATTTAGTTTGGATTTTTTATTTTTTGACATTTTTATGATCCAGAACAAAGTAATAAGAGACAAAAAAATAGAGAGAGAGAGGGAGAAGAAGAAGCAGCAGCAAACAGTCCTCGATGAACGTAACAAAGAAAACAAAGCAAATGTTTAAATTATATATTTATATTTGTAAGCAGAAGCGTTCAACAACAAGCTAAAAGTCCTACTTGAAAAGTTAATTTAGTCTAAACGATGCATGATAATGATAAATCAATAAAGAGAGAGAGAATGAGAGAAATGAGAAAGCTGCAGCAAAGCGGAATGCGCATGCGTAATCCTGCGAGCCAGTCAAAATGTGAACGAAATTCAACAAAAAACAAAAAAACAACAACAAAAGAAAATTAAGCGAACAAATTGAATTTTTTGTCGGGTAAAATGGTAATGAAAGAAAACAATTGATGAAAAGCTAAGAAAAACAACGGATAAATAAAATGTAACAAAGGAAAAAGGATACGGAAATGTCTTTTGTTTTATTCAGCTCCATTTTCAAATCCAATCAACTAGAATCACCCTGTGATGTGTAAGGGCGCTGTAAGTGAATTTTAACAGCGCTTAAGGTAAGTTACAGAATCCATTATTATTCCAATTGGCATTTAACATGCACCAAATTCAACCAGTTAACATAAATCCGTCTGAAGGCTCGCTAACATTTTATGGTAGAGGCAGGGAAATCTTAACAGCGCTTAAGCTAATGTATAACAGTTATGTTACAGAAACCACGATTAATCCAATTGGAATGTAAACATTACATTATTGAGCCAGTTAACATAAATAAGCGTGTGATGAGTCAGCTTTGATGCATGCTAACATTTTTTGGTAAAGCGCTGTTAGGGAAATTTTAACAGCGCTTAGGGTAATGTATAACAGCTGAATAACATAGCCCACTAGTAATCCAATTAGAATTTAAAATTAAGCTTTTGATTAAGTACCAAAATGTAAACTACACTGGCGCTTCTTAAAAGCTTATGCAACACTGTTCGCTCAAATATACAATAAATATTATTAGTGTAAGTACGGAATGTAAAAATGACAAAAAGCTTAAGGAAATTTAAAACGTCGACAGTACACGATTCTAGGGTTCGAACCTTGAACCTTGAAAAACTTTACTACCAAGAATTAATTTACTTCAGCGCTTATTCCTAGGCCTACAAATAGGTTCCATCTAGTTCCGATCTTTAAATTTTAATTCAGCTAAAAGCTATTGAAACTAATCAAAACTGAGCTCTAAGCTATATAATGCTCCAGTTCAAAGTTGACCCAGGTTCATAGATAATTTCTCTTTTATTTCCATTTAAAGTTTTCGATAATTTGGAAACGCGATTTGAATTTCACGTAAATGGGGAAAAAACATTTATTTTTTCTTTCGGAAAATGTTTTACTACACATACATGTATACATATACTATTAATTTTTTAAGTGTTTTTTTTTGTTTTTAGTTTTTTTAATTGCATAAATTTTACGCAAGGAAGTTAGTTCTCCAAAATGTGGCGATAGCAAAAGATCGCAATAATTTGTAATACTAGACTAGAAAATCTTGCTAAAATACTTATATCTTGTTTATAGATGTATTTGCTGTCTGTGTGTCCGTGTGTGTGTTAGTGTGTCTGTGTGTGTGTGAAACTAGGCATTATTATATAATATATGATAGATTACAAAAAGGATCGGCTAAGCTCTAAATTAGTACACATACATGGGCCTATGTATTTATGATGCATGCATATTTCTTATGAATGTTAAATGTAATTAATGTATTTTTTATTTTTTTTTGTCTTTTTTTTTAATGAGAACAACCACAAGATGAGCCTAAGTTTGATTGGGTTCAGAGTACGAGCAATATTTTTCGCTTATCTAAAGTTAGGATTCGGTTTCGATTGAAAGAACTTTTGTGTGTTTGTGTGTATATTCAATGGTTTTTCATTTAAATGCATAAACATTATGTATTCAATAAACAAAACAATAATTTATATATATATATATATATATGCATGTATATTTTGTAAAATATGCCAAAATGAGCAAAACTAATAAACAAAACAATTTGTTCCAGCCATGAGCACAACATTTCAAGCTGTTTGCGACTCAATTTAATAATTATTATTTTAGCTGAGTTCAGTTTGTTGTTTGTGTACTTTTGTGCATTGTCCCTTGAGGTATGCGTGTGTGTTTGTTGTTGTTGTTTTTTTTTTGTTTATGCCAATATTGAATTACAATGTTTGAATTTTTGTCAGCAAAATAAAAGAAAAAGCAAATGTGGCAAAGAATTTAATGCGTTTTGTTGTTGTTTGGCGCTCATGTGTGTTTGCTTGGATTGATTGTGGTTGTTGTAGATATTAACTCGTTCATTCTCCTCGTGATTTTGTTTGTGTTTAGCTGCTAACCCGATTTTGTTTGGTGCGACAGCCTCCCGGATAGTGCTTCATTTGCGCCTGCTGCTGCTGACGGTGCTCCAGCCAGACTCCGGTTGTTGCTGGTGTCTGGCATTTTTGTGATTTAGAGGCGGAGCGACCACAACAGTGGACGCAGCAGCATCATCTCACTTTTTACCGGGAGGCGCTATTGGTTGGCCGCGCTCCTTGCCACGTAATTTTATGCCAAGCACACGCTCCATTTTGCCAAGTATCAAATTATTGGGTATGCCGCGTCCGGCTTCATAGTCGGTAACCACCTGCTGTTTCTCGCAGATTTTCTGAAAAACAATAACGAAAATATGCAATTATCATTGATATTGTTGGCTATTTCAGTTTTACCGTGGCCAAATCCTTTTGGCTCATATTCTTGCCCTGGCGACCCTGCTGAATCAGTTTGCCCACATCGAGCGGAATCTTGTCGTGCCGCAATTCCTCAGTCTCGCGATCCAGCTTGGCAGTGTTCTTCGTGGTCACATGCTGCTTGTTGGTGCCAGCACCATCTGCAATTAAATCAACAAATAAGCCAAATCACAAAACGCAACCAATCAATGCCAAATGCCATACAGTGAAGGCTCGCTTGAGCGCACCCTGAACCCATTTCAAATTGGGTGACAAGGTTTTAATTGTTCTATGCAAATGTCTGTAACAGGTGGAAGGAAACTTAACTATCTACAGGTAAGTTAACTACCTCATCTCTCTGTCTGTTCGTCTGTAAGAACACGTCGATCTCACTCTCCCTCTCTCTCTCTCTCTCTCTCTTGTTGCGCGCGCAGATCAAGTCTGTTTCAAAGCTTCGATAAATCGCTAATAATCGTTATCGAATTCCTGTTTTTTGAGCTTATAAGAGCTTATAGAACTAGACAAGTCCAGAAGAGTACATCTGTTAGATACTTTCCGCCCGTACAATTATGAAAACTCATTTTTGGCGGCGTTTTTGGTATTTGCACACATTTGTTTGCCATAAACATGCCCTGAAAAATGCATAAAGATCGGACAATAAATACCGAAGTAAATCAACAAGACATTTCTCATAGTGAGGGGCCAAGGGACGATGCAGCTAGAGGAGTGTGTGTGTGTGTGACAGGGTTCAGGGTATCTCCCAGTCGGCTACTCCCGACCAGAGCACTCTTACTTATGTCTTTTTCGTCCTGCTAGAGCAGCACAAATTCCATTTATTTATATACGATAAAGCGGCTGAACCTAAACCTGAACCTGAATATAAAAAATTAACTTATTCGGATAAATAAAATTGTTAAAATAAAAAATAATAACATATTATTATATTTTGTGAGCAACACGTGAACAAAAAATAGGAACAGGCTCACGAAATGAACCTTAACGTGAGGCATTGGTTCAAACTGTGAACCGAACCAGCAGGCTTTACAGTTTGCAGTCTTAATATGAAAATTGAGTCAATCAAATTGTTGCATAGTAAAATTTAGGTTTAAAAATAGCACGAATTATTGTATCAAATATTTGTGATGATATACAATTTCTTGATCAAAATAAATGTAGGAATATATTGTTATTGAATAATTGGGCTGCTGCAGATGGCCGCAAGAGCCAGCTGTTCGTTAATTGGAGCTTTCACTGTATTCAGTTAGTAGGTCAGCTCTAGACGTGAGCTAAAATGGCCGGCATTAGTGTTGAGAGTAGTCGGAAAGCTTTCGAAAGGTTGTGAAAATGCAAAAAGTGTTGCGAAATTATATCAAACACACACATGTACCACACACATATGTATGCACTCACACAGGCATACACTCCCGACACAACTAAGCCGCCGAAAACAACAACAAAACGCCACGCCATACACATGGGATTGATTGCAGCTGCGCCGCCCCTTCCCCCTCCCCACATAGCACACAGACCGCAGGCAAATTTTAGAAGAGCCGCCGTCATTTATTTTACTCACATTTTTGCTGGGTATCGACGGCAACACCTTGGCGGCGTGCATTGTTCACAGCTGATTCGGTCTTCAGTTGGCTAGACTTTGGGGCCTTTTTTCTTAAAACGGTTACCGTATCCCAGTCCGACATCTTATATTTTTATGGGGTAAATATGAAAGAAACATTGAACGTGTAGCATAATGCGTGCGGCACATTTATGTGAATTCAAACAACTTACATTGACTGCTTTGTTAATGCTTTACTTAATCTGAATATATATGACTATTTTGTAATTAAAACTAACAAATTCCAGAACTATCTATATATGAATATCTGAACGGTGTGACTTGAAGAGTTGTATAGTGTTGTATACGGCTGAACTAGTTCGATTACTTGAAATTGAACATATTTGAGAGTCACGTGAACTAGGCTGCGCGCACTTGTTCAACGCACTTGATGTTGGCTGCGCGCAATTCGGAGCGCACGCAATGTTGGCTGCGCGCACACAAATGCAGTTCGGTTATTTATGCTCTAGTCGTGTATGGTCACACTAGCAGCTAGTCGTCTTGAAAATTTTATTGAAGTCGGTCGACAACGCAGTGTCGTGCGGGTGGTTCATTTCTGTGTGTGTGTGTGCTTGTGTGTAATTGGAAAAATGCAAAGATATTGATAACTTGAAAGCTGCAGTTAACCAGCTACAAAACGAACTACAATTTCTGCAGGGCGCTGCAAATGCGAAATATGTGAGAAGCGCAGCGCAGCGCACGAGACGCAGACGCAGCAGTGCAAAAGACGTAAGACGGGTAGACAAAGTGCATTTTAGGGCGTGTTTGTAAGCCCTAGCCAGACCCCCTCCACTTCAACTACCCCACAACAGGCTGGCGCACTCAACAAATGAAACAAAACGAATATATATATATATATATATAAAATGAGCCAAGCGCAAACCAAATATTAATTGTCGCCACAAATTGTTGCGTACGAAAGAAAGAAAGAAAGAAAAATCTGATTGGCAATTTCGCAACATCCTTGAATTTTGTCTACTCTCAATTCGCAAAGTGGAGTAGCAATTCGTGTGTGTGTGTGTGCGTGCGTACGTGTGTGTGTGTGTGAGTGGAGCGAAAGAGCGCATCTCGTAAAAGAAAGAAAAGAGACGACGACGCACGAAAGAAAATGTGTAGAGCAGCGAATTAAAATAAAGCAAGTGCGAACGCGATAAAATATATTAAAAAAAAAAAAATAATAAAAAATACAAATAAAATTGCAGCTGCAGCTAAAACGAAATTGTGCAACAAATAAATAAATAATAGTGCATGTGATTGAAGGATGGGCGCACAGCAGGGCAAGGAGCGCGGCTCCCATTCGAGCGGCGGGGGTGGCGGCGGCGGCGGCGGACATGGCGGCACCGTTAGCTGCATCGGTGTCTCCAGCAGCAGTCCCGTTGCATCCGGCTCGCCGCACTGCATCAGCGGCGGCGCCTCCGTTGGCGCCCTCAGCGCTGGCTCCACATTGCGCAGCTCGCGCATCAAATCCCACCAATCGGCGGGACATGGCGGCAGCATCGGCTCGAGCGGCTCCAGCGGCTTGTCGGCGCATCGCAGCGGCTCGAATGCGAATCACAAGGATAACCGTTGCAATCCCAGCGTCGGCTTAAACATATTTACCGAACACAATGGTGAGTATAGCAAACGTCTGTGTATGTGTGTGCATGTGTGTGTGCACCAATACAGACACGCAAATGCACTTACTGTGTGTATACACTGTCACATACACACATACACATGTATATAATTTTATCATTTGACAGCGCTCTCTCATGCTCTCTCTCTTTATATCTCTCTCTCACTTGCTCCTTGTGCACTCTGTGGGCGGCCGTGTTCTCCGCCGATTGAGCCAATTTCTAGTTTTCATTGCTTCCGTTTATCAGAAGAGCGGAATGCGCTTGCTTGCTGTTGTTGTTGTTGTTGTTGTTGTTGTTGTTAGAGTTGTTGTTGTTGCCGGCATTGTTCATACTTGTTGTTGTTGTTGTTGTAGTTGTTGCTGTCGCCCGCTTTTGTTTACAAGAGCAAACAGAACACACGCAAGCCACGCGCCAGTCGAAGAAATGAAACGAATTTCGAAAATATATTTTTCTGGAGGGCGGTTTCGACTGCTGCTGCCACCGCACCCGCCCCCGCACCCGCACCCGCACCCTTCTGCTGCTGCTGCTGAACAGTGGTTGAAAGAGGTACAAGAACAACAAGGGCCACCACCACCCCCCATCCTCCCACTGGCAGAAACTAGTCGACAGACATTTCCTGCGTTGTTTTCCTCGCTCACGCATTTTATTTGACATCCTTCCTCCTACTTTCTTTATTTTGCCTTTACACACAATTTTCCCTTATTCGGTTATTTGTTTGCCTTGGCAAGTTGCAACATTGCCCTTTTCCCTTATTTTGTGCTCCCTTATAATGGCTTTTTTATGTTCCTGTTGCTATGTCCTACCGCAACGAGTGGGCGCCGCGGGGGGGGGGGGGGGCTGTACATTAAGATTTATAGTGGGCTAATCAGCTTACAATTGGCATTATCTAATTGGAAATTACCCGTTAGCTGGCACCTGCTAGCTCACAACTGCTCAAAAGCTCTTCAAAAGTAATCAATTAAATTGCAATCCAATTGGCAAACATTCCAATTGGATTACACTCCGCTTCATTTCTGCTGCGCGTAGTTCATATGAACAGGAATAATCCAGTTCATGAGCTTTTCCTATACAGCTGTTGTTGTTGTTGTTCTTGTTGTTGTAGTTAATGCACTGCAATTTGTTTGCAATTATAATTATTTATTTATAGCTGTAAATCATTTTCATGAGTATTACGGGCCCTCTAACAGAGGCGACTGATAAGAGTCCCGCACAATTATGTGACCGCATTGAGTCACAGATTGCAGTACGCGTCGTGCGGGACATGCAGCTGGCGCGCAGCTTTGTTCGCTTCCAATCAGAATTCTAGTATTTATTAGGCAAAAAAAAAAAGAGTAAACATTTGATCTGGTATTTTATTTCTACAGCAACCTTGATAACAGCCGCAAGAAAGTGCTTGAGAATAGTGTGTTAATTATTTAGAAAAACGAAAATAGATTATAATGAGGAATATATCTAGAGGCTGGGCATTGCGTATCAAGCTATCAAATATCGAAACAAAACAAATAAAATAAAAATTATCACGTTTGCGGCATTTATCAGCTGTTTGTCAGTTGTCAGCTGCTCGCAAGTTAACAAAAAGAAAACAAAAATTGAGAAAAATAAAATAAAACTTTGGCCGAATTATACGTGAGCAGCATACTGGCCGTTGGGCTTAAAGTTCAGAGCAAATAACTGAAAAAAAAAAAAAAACGGCAACAACAAAAAATGGCAAACTTTTTTCGTGCAAATTTCCCACACGAAATTATTCAACCAAATTGCAATCGAATACAGAAATCCGCAGCGCAGGCCCAGAAGATGCAATTGTCGTCGCCGTTGTTGTTGTTGTTGTTGCAATTACAAAATTACATTGTAAAATTGTGTGTCTGGGATACAGATTACAAGCCAGCAACCGCAGTCACCAGTCGCGACCAGGTCGATCTCAGGGCCTGTGCCAGACCGAATGGCAGCCGCGAACTCAAAATGAAATCACAAGCAAACGCACACACAGACACACACACAAGCCAAATGCGACTAACATCGTTGCCAATTGACGACACGGCACAGTGGAAAAAACCACAAATTGAAACACATCTTTGTCATGATTGACTGATTGACTGACTGATGAGCAACGCCTAGCGCAAGCTGTAAGAGCTAGATGGCTCAAATCTTTGCAGAAACTTCATTTTTAATTGTAAATGAGGGTTTAATCGGAAATTAGGGAATAAGGCTTACAAAGTTGGAGCGTCGGACCAGCAAGCGTTGGCTCGCTGGTTCAAATTTATAAAAATTGTTATTCACCACAAAGAAAAAGGAAAGAATGCAAATGAATGTGTTTTAACGATAGTTTTTGGCACTTTAATTATCTTTTAGTTTGACTTTGAGCGTCGGACCAGCAAGCGTTAAGTTGCTGGTTCAAATTTATAAATTTTGTTATAGGGCATACAGCAAAAGGCATAGAATGCACTTTAAATCGAAAATGAATGTGTTTTTAGATTATAATTCACATTTTAATTATCTTCTTGTTTGTTTTTGTCAGCAACAAAAGTGCCATATAGATTGGCCAACTGTTGCCATGCTTGGCTATAGATATAGATATTAGGGTTTCACTCTATATTTAATATACTTCAGCACACTGTGCATCCTTCAGCTTGCACAGTTGTGGGAGGCGTTGCCTTTGGCGCACACTGGAATTCGACTAGAGTAAGAGTCCAAGTTATATGACACGCCGTAATTAGATACCTTTCGGGGAGCAGCAGTAGAAGAAATATGATTGGATATGGTTTTTGGATACCGCTGGGAAAGTGACTGCCGCTTCAGTGGAGCTGTCAATTGCAAATAGAAGCAGCCGAGCTGGGAATGGGAATGCGAATGCGAATAGACCAGGCAAATGGAATTAGATGAAGGAAGGAGAAGGTGGGGCCTTCTGTTCGCACACTTTGGCGACGCGTCGCCATGTCTCAAAATAGCCTCGAAGTGAGTAACAACAACTCCTTGAGTTTGCCGAGTGTTTGCTTCGCACTCGACCCGGTCCCCCTTTTGCCCACGCTCGCTCGTAATCTGAGCAGCCGGGACTAGAAGCAGCGGCAGGCGGGTGGCGTCAATGGCCGTTGACTGGCCCCTAGCCTGGACGCTGACGCTTTGCTGGCAACATGCAAGCGGCAAATTATGAGACGAGGCAAATGAACTTTTCACATGGCTAATGGACGCTACACGCACAGCCACTAGGAGATCTCTCTGTGTGTGTGTGTGTGTGTGTGTGTGTGTGTTTGTGCTTTGTGCTTTGTGGACACACGGCAAACAGGTGACGCGTGTGTGGAAGTTGAATGTGTTTGCCTAACAGCTTTCCCACTCGTTCACAATTATGCTAATATATACATTTTATTCCGCTTGTTATTGTTATTTTAATGAAAAAACAAATTAATATTAAATACGCTACTCACATAATTATTTAAAGATGTGAACTGCGAGCTTCTAACGGGAAAATAATTTCTTAGTAAAGCGTTTAGAACTTTTAGCATATACAAATTATAGTACAGAGGTCTCGCCAGTTCTAATTTGTTAAAAAACCGTTAAAAACTCTGATGAAGAACACTTTCAAAAAGGCAAAAAAGTATTTTAAATGGGCATTAAAAAGTAACCTAGTCTTAACAGCTTCTAGACTGTTAATGTAAATCTGTAACAAGGCTGTTAA